ATTAAAAAATTTATAGCGAACTAATTATTTATATAGTAAATACTCTTTACGAATTCATCATATTATACAAAGTTTAACAAATATTTATGTTGGTAACTTTGAATTTTAAAATCGTGTATAAGTACATCAAATTATAAACATATATCCAGGATAACAATAATATTAAAATAATAATAAATACACAAGTCCCTCGATAAGTTTATTTTTATTATTATGTGCTTTTAAATATACGTTTGTCTTCCTTTTTTTATTTTTGAAAGCCAAGATACTTGTTTAACATCAGACAAACACGAATCTCTCGTTGTCTATCGAATACCACCACTGAATAAAAATTTCTCAAAGAAATTTACGTACAAAATTCAGGTATAAATAAATGTAAGTAGAGAAAATCTAGTAAAGAATCAAGTAAAGAAAATCTACGTCAAAAAATGAAAAGCTCATGTAAGAAAGAAAATAATTAAGCATCATATTCTGTTGGATATTTATTTATCAACAATAATAATTTTTTATTGTTAGAAATGTACTTGTTGTACAAAGTGAAAGATCATAAATTTTTTTAACTCTATTTCATAATAAATATCACATAGCCCAAATGGATAATATCTTTATAATAGCGATAAATAATTTATTAAATATGTTATTGAATTATAAATTGTATAAGTATTATTTTTTGTCTTCAATTTCAATGTAGACAGCACTCATATATGTATATGATTTTATTACACCTCAGTTCCCATCACATTCCAATATCATAATTTAGTTTTAATTAAATTTAAATAATCTTAGATAAATATCAATTGCTTAATTTTGGTTAAAACAATGTCAATATAAACAACAAGTTGCGTCAATTTGTTTCTAGTTTAGTACTAAAAAAAAAAAAACAGTTAAAAATGTTTAAGTACGGCAGGAAATAGGTCGATGATTTTTATTTTTGTAATTGTTTTATTTATTTTTAGTATAATCTAAAAATAATTTATTTTACTGCAATACTCCTTTACTTCGGCTAGATAGTTCGACGCATTTTCAAATCGGTAAAACATATTGTAACATTGTACGTAAAAGCTTATTATCATTGAAAATTTAATTTCTTACGCTTAATTAATGTAATGTTCAATTAATTATTTCTATATATATTCATGATTTTGTGCACATCGATATAGTTATAAGTTAATTGTTCGTTATTTACTCTTAAAATTCTGTTTGATTTTATTTTTGCATTTGCAACATTTGCTTATATACTGAAAGAATATTGATTTGAAAATTGATTTGAATATATACAAATCGCGTAGTTTTTTAAAATGTGCCTAAACGTAATGCAAATCACTTTATTATTCCGATATTCCCTTAACACTATTACTGTAATGAAATATAATTGTAAATATATCCAAACGGGGGAGAGAATTCGCTTCATATATTATTTTTGCAGGCTGTCACTAAGTGTCAAAGATATAACATTGTGTTGGAAAGTGCATGAAAGAATGTGATAAAATTATTCGATTTGTCTCGAAACAATTTTACGAATTTACAAAAAGTGCATTTGGAGATGACCTAATTTTTTTGGTCAAACTCGAAAAAGGAGGTCAACGAAGCAGTAAACATTATTCATGCCATTTCCTGAATGGTTTCACCCGTCTATTGCCGCACCACCATCCAGTGACGTTTTATTTCTGATCCACAACATTAAGTCCCAATCTTTGTTAAATAAGTTGAATTATTTAAAAGCATAAATCGTTAATATGTAATATACGCTTTATCATGGAAGCGCAAAACGAAACAAAAAACAAAAACAAAAAAAAGAATAAGAAGAAAAGTAAGAATGAAAAGTAGAAAGGAAGTTTCGAATATATCACAATGCTCATTGTTTTGTTATTTCTTTGTGAATTTATTTTTCTAGTAAAGGAAATGGAGATATTTTTAATGCTGCTTTTATGCCAATGTTAGACGAAATAACGATTTTTGTGAAAGCAAATGTTTGCATATGAAATATATTTGAGCTTATTGTGTAAAAGGAATAATGATGATTTTCAGTTACTTTTCAATTTATCCACAAATTTCATCCCAACCATTAGATTTTAATTAACGCGAAAATATACTGATTAATTATATAAGCCGCGGAGGATGATTTTAATTGTCCACTACATAAAATATTTCATTCTAGTGAATGTTGTTTAAAATAATCGTATATTTGTGTTTTTAAAGCGATATTAAATTCCATTATGAAAATTTGGTTTTTGTAAGTAGGCTGATAATAAACTTATTTTTATTTATAATATAAATACAAATAAGTATAAATATAATTTAAGTTCTATTACAATTATAAATAGATTATTTATTATAGAAAGCTCTTTTGATGAAACATTTCAGACTAGATTCAATGGAGATTTTTTTAATTATCATTAATATCTTGACATATTGAGATTTTTTATAAAAAAAATTAAATCTAACCATAAAATTTATACAAAAAAAAAAAAAAAAAAAAAAAAAAACCAAAAAAATTAAAAAAAAAAAAAAAAAAAAAAAAAAATATATCTTGACCATTAATAATGGTAAAGTTTTGACTACAAATCACAAATTAACAGTACTTATAAATATTTATAACAGTAAATGAGAAGACTTCGACTTCACTTCTCAAAAATTTGTGAAAATTTAATTGTAATTATTATACTTTTACTAGATTATTTATTCTATTTTGCATTTACTATTAAAATTAAATAGAAAATTAAATGCAACGAATAAAATTAATCGAACGATCTATGATATAATTTTGAAATTCTGTCTATTAAATAATACAACATAATTAATCTCTACGTACTATATACGATGCTAAATGTTCTAAAAATGTAATAGAATTTTGTATATTAACAAGACTTATTAACGAACGAAAACTTTATATCTAGCAAAACTCTGCACACGCACATATATCAAACAAATATGCATTGGTTTTAAAAAAAACAATTGACATTATCATGACGTTTCAAGATACGAATACTCTAGATTTACGTTTCAAGTAGACTCAATGACGTTGTTTCTAAAATTAGTACCATGAGAATTTCCACTTATACATATATGTTTCAACTATTGTTTAATCGATAATATTCACAATCCTATATTTCTAAATTAAATAAATATTGCATTTGAATTTACGGTAAGTAAATAAGTAAGGAATTGTGCTATAATAAAATTTAGCAAATATATAAAATATAAAATATAAAAAATCGTTTGTTACGAGATAACATGATATTGTAATTATCAAAAGATACTAAGAAATTGAAGCTTTGAATTATTTCCTTTTAAACTATTTATATAGAATAATAATTAAAATATTTGTGATAATTTATGTAATTAATAGAGGCAATGGGTTTGACTGAATATTTCTAGTATTTCTAGTATGGTAAATAAAGTATTTATCTTTTATTTCAAAAGGATTAAAATAAGGATTTAAAATTATTATCAAGACATTAATTTGAAATGAATTTCATTAAGAGTCGGGGATAAGAGCGAAAAAAAAAAAAAAAAAATTTGCCAACCAAAATCAAAGAATTTTGTGGAATTAATAATGTTAAAACTACATGGGAATTCTAATTTATCGAAAGTTTTTTTATCGACAGATAAATTAGAAAATTTTTCAAGCACTCCAATAATAAATGGTTGTTGTTAAATCGAAAATTACAAAATAATTTGAATAAACGTTAAATAGGGCCGATAATATTATGTATTATGCGTTATACAATGAAATTGCTGGCTATTACATAATCTTTGCTAAATTTTTGCAATTTAAATAGCGCAGTTAAATTTTGCAAATAGATTTAATAATATTAGAGATGCTCGAAGCAGAAAATCCTTAAAGCTTATAATACCGTAAAATTTATAAATTACATTAATGAAGAAAATAATGAATATTATTTTGAATATCCATATAAAGCAGTCCGATTTCGAAGTATTTGACGGAAAATTTTCGAATTACTTTATGAATATATTATCTTTAATATCAAGTACTCCATCGAAAAAAATTATACATTATTGATTATAAATATAATAATACTATATCGCGTCTCTTATGAGAAAAGTACATTATTTTTAATAATCTTATCACTTTGGGAAACAGATAATGCAATCGAATCAAATCTCCTGACCATCTCAAATATATCGAGTATTCCTATTAAGCTCATCTGTTTGTTATTTGAAAATAAATCAAACGACTTATGGCAAATTCAATATCCCTGAACTTCAATTGTTGATACGGAGACCGCGCATCTGAACGATTTCGCTCGATATTCTAAATAATAATAAGATTGATTAATGATAAAATTTTGCCAGAACAATATTTTCTTTCAATGATACCGATTTAATGTGTCAAAGATTTTATAAGCTCCATTTGCAAATTAAGCAACGAAGTTCTATGGGAATTCAATTCGTGACCAACTGAGAAAGGACATTGACATTAACGATAACACGACAATATGTGGAGTAAAATTTGGTGGCACAAGTTCAATGTGCTACGTTGCATTATCGGCACATTGAAAAATAATTATGTGCTTCTTTACCTACGTGGCCTACGTGGCCTTCCTAAGCCAACTGTGCCTCAGGCCTTCTTTACTTAACGTCACGAACCTCAAAATAGTATTGCTTATAGATAGTAATATGACAAATAAGGCTTTCGATGATATACAAAGACAGACAAGTAAAGAAAGTAAGTATTATTTAATTACGTGCAATGCGCAAAGCCTGAGGTTCACTAGTGACGAAGCACTTGTCTTTTATCGGAGTAGCGCGCGTTCTGTAAAGCAGACGGCCGTTGGAAAATTGTGCCGGGCTTAAACGTAACGAATGAGCGTGAAAATTTGCGATTCTTATGTCATCCCGTGACCAGTTACACATTGAGGCAACGCGTCATTGTCGTCGCGCATTCTTAATGATGACGGCATAGCGATCGTATTGGGATCAATTCCTACGAAGTTAACGACAGAAATGGAATGCATAAATAAATTCAACGCAACGTATCTCCGTCTCTTTTTCACATCACGTTTTATTATCACATCATACAGACCAAGATAATATTATCGAGTAGTCGTTACGAGACGGTGCGTCGGCTCGTTACATTAAATAAAGAAAATATCGAATTAATTAACACGCAAGATTCTTCATTCTCCTGCCTCTTGTTTCTTCTCACTTCTACCAGCTGACGAGGCATCCTCACGAGACGAGGCGCAATTTCTTCATTTCTTCAACCTCGTTCTCGGTCCCAGCTCCTCCCTGTGTAACAAACACACTCGTCACCATCCTTCATCACCAAGGGCGTATTCCCATCTGATTGTATTTCCAATATACGACGATTAGGCTTCGACAGACTCGGCCCGTCAAATAACATCCTCATCCGTGAATATTTACTTTACGCCACATACGATTTCCACTCCCTCGCGCGTAGCCTCACTCCTGCCCGGTGGAAGCCTCGACCGAAACTTGCGGTTATTAAGGTCGTGTCGATGCTCCTCGCGCCACTCCCTCGTCCTCCCGTCAATCCCTAGATGCCGATCTCGAAGTTCCACCATCTGAAGAGGACGACGAGCCAGACGAGTCGGTTGATGGCGCAGATGGCGCCGAAGAGGTCCTCCTGGTCGCTGCGCCCATTGAGGACTTGGTGGAGCCGGGGGGTCGCGAGCGCGGACATAACGCGGGCCGGACTGTCGGACACTCGCCAGGCCACTAAGCCACTGCATCGGGCGAGTTACCTAATCACCGATCACCGCTCAAAAGTAGCTGCACGCGCGTGCATCCGACGGCGGCGGCGGCTTTATTTTCGATCACGTGGCGGCGCTGCGACGGCCCGAGGAGCCCTGAACTGCGTCGCGGCCGCGCTCCCAAGGTCAAGAGCGAGGCGCCGCCGTATTATCGCCGGGGTACCGGTAACCTGGCCATGGGAGGACGGACGGCCGGGAGAGGAAGGCCGGCGCCGGGAATCCCAATCCGAGCCCCCGAAGCTGGAGATGTCCGTCGGTCTCGGTCGGTAATCCTCCTCGTTTCCCGGCCAATGTCTACGTACGTACCGTTCACTTGAGGTGCGCTCTTTTATCTTCGCCGTATTTCATCTGGCTTTATTTTGATAATGAGGTGGGGGTGGGGCGAGAGGAAGACGGAGACTTTTGCGGTGCGTTGGATGGATCCGATGAGGATTTTTTGATCGTCAAACGCTAGTGGGCTCGCGATTGTTCGAAGCCGATTTTTCTTAAGTGCGCGATAATACGAGGTACGTTTTTTTTTTTTTTTTTTTCTGTCTTTCTCGTATTTTGGTGACTCGTTAAGGTTACGAAACGACAAAACAAGATTGCCCATAAATTTGCATTTAAAACTTTGATATTTGCATCAAGAAGCAAATAAACTTACCAATCGCGTGATACTTTTTTTTTCGAACATCGTTTCTCCAGGCCGTAAATTGCTCATTTTCAAATAAAAATAATCACGAAAATTGTTAATTATTAGTGTAAGGTGATAGATTTAGAAAGACAATTTAGAAAATAATATTTTTCAATAAGTTTATCAACAGGCCTGCTTCGATACGATTGTTTATTAACGTTTGTTAAATATAAATTTAATATAGAATAGTACATATTTCCATAATTTTTTAATCTATATAATTATTGTTTTATTTATTTTTTTTCACGTGCATTACTAATACCATGTTACGCGTAACTATTTATATACGAAAGTGTCGACGAGACAGACCGTCATTAAGACACGTTAAGAAAAAAATTTCATTAAAATAGGCCGAGTCAATGTTACATACTTTTTATCAATTAAAATCTGTGTCATGAAAAATACAGAACATAAACAAGAAAAATATAGTTTATTTCTTTATGCAAGAAACAGTTCGACGCAAGAATGATATAATTTATTTAATTCCAATAATAGTTGATTACTATATTTCATTCGTAGTGAAACAATTGATTGTAATATAATTTCATATACATCAGTCGCATGCGTGAGAAAAACAACTTTAACCGTTTCCTTCAAATCAAATGTTATATTTACGTTTTTCATACAATTTTTCTTAGAAGTAGATAGTTCTAATAGATGCGCAGTCAAACATTATTTTAAGAATCTATTCGAAGCTTATGTTTAATCCGTTGCAATATATTTTAAAATAATGCAGTCATCGAAATCAATAGGCAACTCTGACATTCGAGTGGCTGATTGCTATATCTTATTTATTTTTTCTTTTAGTTATTTATATTTGTGACTCTCCTATTCACGAAAAATTTGCGCACATGATATAAGAATTTTAAATTCGATATAAATTTCATGGATTATTAATACAAACATATATGCAATTGCTTAGAATTGGTATTCTTTTGAAGTTCACGCGCTCTTAATTGTATCCATCTAAAATAAATGCCCGAAAAGTGATTTTTCGACTTTGTTATGAAAAAAAGTACTAAGCTATGAGACCATATTAAATAAATCAAAGAAAGAGTAGATATTAATAAATTATTAAGCATTTACTTAGTTAGTATAAAATTTGTAGAGAAACTACAGTCACTAATATCAGTATTCCAAACCATAAAATTTTATCTTGTTTTATATGGATACATCATGAAGCATCGAATCAACATCAAAAACATCGTTCGCATCCCCATAAACATACTGAAAAAAACTTACCAATAATAGTATAAAAAATTTTTAATTTATTTATTTAATATGCATTAACAAATTTGTTACATGATTTAACAATGTATTATAACGAATTATCACATTATCAATAGTAATGAAAAAAAAAATATAATACCATAAAATAAGCATTGATAGATTCGCCATGAATTTTTTGCACTTTTACAGATAATATAAAGCAATAAAAGACACACGCAGCGCGCGCGCGCACACACACACGCACACACACACGCACACACACACATATATATATATATATATATTACAATAGCCAGACGAAAGAATGTAGAAATATTTTCACAACTCCTGCGAGTTTATCCTTCTCGTACGTGCCGAGTTAACTTCCAATGATAATGGGACTGCGGTATGGGCGTGAAAACAAAATTATTCTTGTATATGACACATTGTTGTCAACTTCACACTTCGAACTTATATTTACATAATAAAATACTATTTTAGTAGCTCTATAAAGAATCAACAGAATTTGTCAACATTATTTAGTCAAGAAAAAAAAAATTGTAATTTAATAGTTATTTTTTATCGTCATCATTCATTATTTAAAATCTTAGATGTATAACATCAATATTAATTGAGCAACTTGATCAATATTATATCAAATAATTATATATTCATATTAAAATATTCGTTTAAAGTTGAAATTGATAAATTTCGTATGGAATATCCAGAGCTTTGTCGCGTAAAATAACATTCTTTGCATTAAAATAACTCACATCTACAGAACAATAACTCGCTAAAAAAAATCTCTATGTAAATTCTACTTAAATTCCGTTTCATCTTTCGATTAAAGAAATTCTTGGCTGTATTGAAACAAAAAATGCTCGCAAAATCAGAATTACTTTGTAGTAAATAAAGTTTATATATTTAAAATATTCACTTATATTTAAGTATTTAAAAAGTCTCGGAAATTTTATTCATAAGTTCCAATTTTTCATCAATGAGAATGTTCGTTAAGGACTAAAGACATGCAATATTTAATTTTTGTCATAAAATTTACAGGAGACATTAAATATTTTTAAATTTTCGCAAATGAGAGATTGAAATGTGTAAAATCCATATTTTATGAAATATTTTTAATTCACTTATTAATTATTTATTACATAATAAAACATAAATTAATTGCATAATCTAGTAAGTCAATAAATTACTAGCAATTATAATATTTCTACCTTTGTAAATTTATAATAATATTATAAAATAATAACACACTAACCCTAAAATTTTATATAATACACTGAAAATTTAAGTATAAGACATATTTCTTAATACTGGCTTGTAAAAAATATTTGAAAATAAAAATTAATTCATCCATATACAATAGATAGTACATTGTTCTATAAATACATACTATATACTTGAATTTAGTCTTAAAAGAGACAATGGTGACATGTTAAATAATTTTATAAAATAATTTTTTATTTAAATGTCATAAATATATGATTTATCTGACATAAAATAATTTGTAATAAAGTTTAATGCACCGCTTTGATACGAATTCAATATCACTATGAGATCTAATGGATTTTTAATGCTTAAATATGAGATTGGGATTGAGAGCTTTTGTATGCTAAATATTTCATAATAAAATTCGATTTTTAGGAATTGAATGATTCAAATTTTAAAATAAAATCCGCCAGAATAGAAATAGCATTGATAGATCGTTCGAGTAAATGATTCTTAATGTTAAAACTATTCTATTTTCCTGTACAACCACTAAAATATTTATCGCACAAATGATGCCTTTTGGCATTAATATTTTAATTCAAATTCTCGAAAGCTAACATGGTATGTGTAAATTAAAGCTCATTATTGTAGTATTATACTCATTACTGCAGGTGTAGTGGTTATAATTTTTTTTTACAAAAGTTTCTTGGATAGTGAAACTAATAAGAACGGTCCATCAATAAACGTGACATTGAATGACATTAAAAATGTTCGTTCAAAAACAAAAAATAAACAAACAAAAACAAAAAACAAAAAACAAAAACATTTTAATTTAAAAAACACTGAAATCTTGCATTTAATAAAGTTACAAAATCCACTAGTTAATACCAATGATATCGTAATTAAATTAATAACAACTATAATAAAACTACCAGTTTATTAAAAAGCGTTGCTAATACCATTAATGTCACTATGTTTGTTTTAAAGATAATTAATCCTATTCCTGATAAAGTATTAGAATATATTTGCCGCAAAGCGAGTTGTAAATCTCCAGAGACTCCGAAGTCATCCAACATTTCGGCTCCGTCGTTTCCACTATGCATAAAGTTTATCGAATGCACCTCTGCGAAATGCATTTTACAACCATTCAGCTGCGTTAGAACAGTCCTATTAATAAACCTAGTAAATTTTCGTACAAACGCTGCTTTCATGAAACTCCAAGGCGCAAAGTCACGGCCAAAAGCTTTCAATGTCATCATCCTATCATCGAGTTCAACAATCACAAAGACAAAATACGTAAGCCAAACTTCTGCCTAAAGTAGTTAACTCCGCGAGGTTCATCGGGATTTCGGGGATCCTAGGAATGAGCGCGCATCCGTCGGGTAAGGGGCCCCACGCGCCGCTGAGGCCCGATCACGTAACTCCTAGTAACGCGAGGCTGGGATTCGCCGCCTCTAGTGGCCGCAAAATCAATAGGTCGGAGCGCCCGCGGCATCTCGTCGGGAAACGCGCGAAGCAATACGCAAATAGCAGCAGCAGCGCCCCGAACGTCTCTGACGACGATTGCGCCGGACTTCCTCGAGCGTATCGATTCGACGTCGACGCG